TAAAGACCCAAGGGCTCTCACAGGCTCATATGGTAAAAGCAGATCAAATACATAAATTGGTGTGAGACCATTAAGAGCTTTAAAAAACAATAAAAGAACCTCAAAATCAATTCTAAAATATACTGGAATATACTGAAAACTTCTAGTCCATACTGTTGTTACTATTAGTGTTAAAGAAGAAGAAAAAAAAAGGCATACTCTGATCTGGTTTTTTAGCTGCTCAGCCTCTTGGCGTAACTGATCCAGTTCGCTCATATTCCTCTGCTTATGGTGTGCTTCACAGGATTGCCTTGATTCTTGCTGATCTGCATGAAAAGAGAAATGTGAAGCACAGCATCCATAGTTGACACAGATTATTTCACGTTTTTAGTTATGAACAAAATAATCCAACTGGGTATTTCATACTGTTAGCTTTTATCTCAAATTACTTCAGAGACTTTGGCCAATGTGTGAAAACATCAAACATTTAAACTTTAGTGATAAATCTGAATGCACCCTATGACTTAAAAAAAAAGAAAATAATGCAGACAAACACATCATCCAAAAAAACAAATAAAAATACAAACAAACAGCAACAAATAAAGTCAAGATCAGTCAATGTCACAAAGAGTGGGAATGGTGGCCAAGCTCAAAGTAAGAGTACAGCTATCAAGAATGCTCAGAAGCTGACCTCGGAATTAGCCTGGGTGATGCTGAAACTCCTGAAAATCAAAGGCATGCGTAGAAAACTGTCCCACCAGTTTTCTACGCATGTTGAAAACTGGTGGGAGACACATTTAATTAAACAGTGTAACAGTCTGAAGTTAAAAGAACCAGCCAAAAAAGAAAAAAAAGTTAGAGAAGGTTCTGCTCTATACCTGTTGTGTTTTATAAATTAGTTTGAGAAGTGTTTTTTTATTACTTATGACAACCCTTTATTTTTGTAAATTTTGACTTTAGTCTGATTTTAGGTGCAAATTTATTTGAGAATTAGACCATTCAGATAGGATAAAAATTACTTTTGGTTGTTAAATCTGGATATCTTATTTTATTTATCATTTCAGCTTAAATCTACTTTCCGATTCAATGGCGCTGCTGGCTCAAGGAGTGTGCCAGCAGGAGTGTGCATCGCATTGTGGCTGGTTGTTTTTTGGTTGCCCAGATTATCATTATTGATTGGTGAAGTCCTTTGTTATTTTTGTAATAAATTTGAGGTTAAGTCAATTATGCTTCATTTTGCCTCCACTTTATGTCGCAGACTACAGGCTGGGTTGTAACACTGGGGTAGACTTGAAGAAGACTTCAATGCTGTGACAAGCCTGCCATTCATCATATGATTTCTGACCAGCTACCTCCCAGCACACCAAAGAAGAATAGATGAACTGAAAATTACAAGCCCCATGCCCTATAACCCATTTCCACCAGTGAAAGTAGAGCAAATGGCAAATGTAAGGGCTACAAATGAGTGAGCATTGTTTGACAAATATCTGCTACTATTGCTGCACAATTTATCTGATTAAAAAATGAAATAGTGCAACAAAAAAAACTATTTAATTTGACAAGGCTACCTTTAATGTTCCCCTGAAACTGTTCGGTGCACAGTGTTGGTAAATTCACAACAAGACTTTTCAGCTATTCATGTCAACATTTTCCCATTTAAAGCATCTTTGCAGGGAGAACCATTGACCCATTTATGAAATGCTTTCACAAAATACCTGAAACACATTTGCTCTGTATGCCTGCTTTTTACACGACAAAGCCTTATGTCAATGAAAGCTAAGGGCTGGCTTCGGAAAGAAAAGCATTTTAGATAATCTGTTGAAGACATATGAGTAACACAAAAACCTTTCAAGATCAGTGGACTTGGAGCCAGGAGCAAAAAGAACTTTGTGAAATCCCTGTATTTGCCAAGAAGAAGCTTAAAGTAAACATTGTTAAATTAAGAGAAGCTTGCTTTTGCTACTAAAAGAGTAAATGCCATCTTTAAACTGCACTGTTAGACGCAAGACACCAGTATTTTATCATCAGACTTTCTTGCCCGCTCAATCCTGTCCTAAGGACTCTGTGGGCCTCTATTGAAATAACAACCTATAGATAAAAAGAAGTATATTGTTGCTTAAGTTCTAACATGTAATGTTGACCTACTCATGCTGTAGTTATCATTTGGTTTACACCATGGCCATAACACAAGCCTCCTTCTCTTCAAAAAATAATAAATGGACTTGGTTTATAGAGCGCTTTCTTGCTTCTTCTGACCACTTTGAAGACCAACTCCAATAAAAATCATGTTTTTCTTGTTGTCTACATGTTCATATGGCATTTTTCTGATGCTACAGGACACATGAGAAAAATAAGTGCAAAATTGCATTTCTGAGTATTTCTGCAGTCAAATCACTGTGAATCTGTGGCAGACCCAAACATGGCCTAGAAACAGGGAGATTTCCTGCATCAAAACTGCAAGCTCAGCCCCCGGTGCCCCGCTATGCAGGCCAGACTCGGGAAAAGTAGAGAGGACAAATGCGGAATAAGCGTGTGCATTAGCGGATTGCAATGCTTGTAAGAAAGCTAATCATGATATTAACTTTCATCATGTCCCCAAAGACATTAGTGTCTGAGAGCTAAATAGCTCCTACAGTGCATCCGGAAAGTATTCATACCACTTCACTTTTTCCAAATTTTGCTATGTTACAGCCTTATTCCAAAATGTATTAAATTCCCTTTTTCCCTCAAAAATTCTACACAAAATACCCCATAATGACAAAGCGAAAACTTTTTTTAGAACATTTCGCAAATTTATTAAAAATAAGAACACTCAAATGTTGCATACATAAGTACTCACACCCTTTACTCAATACTTGTTCAAAGCACCTTTGGCAGCGATTACGGCCTCCAGTATTATGTATGATGCAACAAGCTTGGCACACCTGGATTTGGGGAGTTTTTCCCCATTCTTCCTTGCACATCCTCTCAAGCTCAGTGAGGTTGGATGGGCAGCGTCGGTGCACAGCTACTTTCAGGTCTTTCCAAAGATGTTCAATCAGGTTCAAGTCTGGGCTCTGTTTGGGCCACTCAAGGACATTCAGAGACTTGTCCTGAAGCCACTCCTTTGTCTCCTTGGCCATGTGCTAAGGGTCGCCCCAGTCCAAGGTCTCGAGCGCTCTGGAGCAGGTTTTCATCAAGGATTTCGATCTACTTAGCTGCATTCATTTTTCCATCTATCCTGACAAGTCTCCCAGTTCCTGCCGCTGAAAAACATCCCCACAGCATGATGCTGCCAACACCATGCTTCACTGTAGGGATGGTATTGGCGAGGTGGTGCCTGGTTTCCTCCAGACATGACACCTGGCATTCAGGCCAAAGAGTTCGATCTTCGTTTCATCAGACCAGAGAATTTTGTTTCTCCTGGTCTGTGAGTCCTTCAGGTACCTTCTAGCAAAGTCCAACCGGGCTGTCATGTGCTTTTTACTGAGGAGTGGCTTCTGTCTGGCCACCCTACCATAATTACCTGACTGGTGGAGTGCTGCAGAGATGGTGGTCCTTCTGTAGGGTTCTCCCATCTCCTCAGAGGAACGCTGGAACTCTGTCAGAGTGACCATCAGGTTCTTGGTCACCTCCTTGACCAAGGCCCTTCTCCCCCACTTGCTCATTTTGGCTGGGCGGCCAGCTCTAGAAAGAGTCCTGGTGGTTCCAAACGTCTTCCATTTCTTAATGATGGAGACCACTGTGCTTTTTGGGATCTTCAATGCAGCAGATATTTTTCTGTAACCTTCCCCAGATCTGTGCGCCGATACAACCCTATTTCAGAGGTCTACAGACAATTCTTTCTACTTCGTGGCTTGGTTTGTGCTCTGACGTGCTCTGACAGCTGTGGGATCTTATATAGACAGGTGTGGCTTTCCAAATCATGTCCAATCAGCTGAATTTGCCACAGGTGGACTGCAATCAAGTTGGAGGAACATTACAAGGCTGATCAGTGGAAACAGGATGCACCTGAGCTCAATTTTGAATTTTATAGCAAAGGGTGTGAATACTTACGTATATGCAACATTTGAGTGTCTTATTTTTAATAAATCTGCAAAATGTTCTAAAAAAAGGTTTTTGCTTTGTCATTATGGGGTATTTTGTGTGGAATTTTTGAGGGAAAAAAGGAATTTAATCCATTTTGGAATAAGGCGGTGACATAACATAACATATATTAACATATCATGTTTGCTTTGTTTACTTTTCATTATCTGCTTATCCCTCTCTTTATCCAGTACAGTCTCTCCTCTCCTTTCCTTCCATCAGCACTTGCTATCAGTCTGTCTGTCTGAATTGCATACAGCTTGCTGTACGATCACACAACAATACACTAATTATAAAGCTATAGTGATGAAGAGTGAAGTGGCCTATAGCATCTCATTGGTCACATTTTGGGAGGAGTTACCTGAGGTCCAGCTGTTTTACTTTTATTGTGGTTTTGAGACAACTAGCAAGACAGAGTTGCTTTCTTTTTCGGTAAGGGGGGAGAAGCTAGAGAAAGAGAGAGAGAGAGGCAAAGTAACAGTGAAAGGAGTGTCTTCATCTTACTCATCTTAACTAATCTTCGTTGAGGTTTCTATGCCAGTTGACATATGCAAAGTTTAATAGCTGCTACCCTCAGTTTTTAACCCCTTAGTTTCCTTTCATTAAAAGTGTTCCAGTTCCCAAAAATCCACAGTTATGAAACCATATTTTTACTGGTTCATGAAGAAGGGAATAAAGATTTGAGGGAATATGTGTCAGAGTAAGCGCAGATTTTATCTGGGAAATGCAGAGAAGTAAAAGTAAGAGTTGTCAGAAATATGAAAACTCAAGTTAAGTACAGATACTTGCAAACAATAGTACTATTACTTTCTTACTTTACACCACTAGGAGCAACATAATTCACGGGAAGCCCGGTCCAGACGCCGACCAGCAGCAAGGCGGTCTCCTCCTCCAACCTGCCAAATGTCGCAATCACCGTAGCTCCCTCCCAGGCAACCGATGGATCTCCCGGAACCATGGGCAGCCCGGCAGCCGAAGCCTTGGCCTCCTCCAATGCCGTTGACCGGCCGGCCTTGGGACCAGGGCCAGCCAACTCCCGGTTGCCGCTGGACGCCCGTGTGAAGCGCTCTGAGCCTCACCAGTGGGCCCGAGGTCCAGCAACAAAAAAAACCCGGACATCATCCACAGCGTCCCGGCGCAAAACTGTTGCGGGAAGCGGTCTGTCGCCGCTCCGTTGGATCCGTCCCCAAAGCTGCGTCCCAAAATGACAGCTTCTCAACCTCACTACACCACCCCCACAGTCATCCGATAACCCCTCTGATCTTGTCACCTACTACAACCAGACCCTCTCCTCCAGTCTGAACCTACTTGCCCCTGTGAAAAGCAAATCTGTCACATTCGCCCGCTCTGCTCCTTGGTACACCCCAGCACTCCACCAGTTGAAACAAAAAATACGCCAACTTGAAAGACTCTTCGGGAAAACCGGACTCACAATTCACCTCCAGCTCTATACAGATCACCTCCATCAGTACAAAGCCACCCTCAACTCCACCCGCTCAGCATACTACTCCATTCTGGCTCCAGCAACCCCAGGACCCTGTTCTCCACCATCAAGACTCCCACCTGCACCCTGGACCCTATGCCCTCCACACTCGTTAAGACCTGCCTTCCAGTCCTCTCTCCACTAATCCTTTCCATAGTCAACTCCTCCCTCCACACCGGATCAGTCCCTGACTCCCTCAAACTGGCTGCCATCACCCCAACCCCCAAAAAACCCGGACTCGACCCTGATATGATTTCGAACTCGACATGATAATCATCGGCCCCAAATCCATCGGCCCCAAATCCATCACCCAATCCATCCCCCCCTTCTCCATCACAGCTGATAACTCACCCCTGTCTCCTTCCTCCTCCATCCGCAACCTTGGACTCATCTTTGATACCCACCTCACTTTTGAACAACACACCTCAACACCTCAAAAACATTGCCCGTCTTCGCCCATCTCTCTCCCTCCCTGCAGCAGAAACCCTGGTCCACGCCTTCATCACCTCAAGGTTAGATTACTGCAACAGCCTCCTGTATGGTCTACGCTCCAAACTCCTCAACAAACTACAGATAGTCCAGAATTCTGCCACCCGCCTCCTTACCCACACCTGCTCGAGAGACCACATCACCCCTGTCCTCCTCCATCTACACTGGCTCCCCATCAAGCAACGCATCACATTCAAGATCCTCCTTCTCACCCACAAAGCCCTTCATCATCAAGCCCCTTCTTATCTCACCGACCTGCTCCAGCCGCATGCACCCCCCCGTAACCTCCGATCCTCCTCTGCCAATCTCCTCACCCCAAAATCACGGCCCAAGCACCGAACCTGGGGGGATTGGGCATTCTCCACAGCTGCCCCTACCCTCTGGCACTCCCTACCACCCTCCATCAGACACTGCCCTGACCCCACTACATTCAAATCCCTTTTAAAAACTCACTTATTCAAAATTGCTTTTAATATTTAACTGTTTTATTTTACTGTTTTCATGTCTCTGTTTTATTATCTTGGGTTTTACGTTCTATGTAAAGTGTCTTTGAGTGTTTTTAAAAGCGCTGTACAAATAAAATGAATTATTATTATTAAAATTTCTAAGTCCTCCTTACAGATGTAACGATATGAAAATTTCACATCATGATTATTGTGACCAAAATTATCACGGTTATCAATTTTATCACAATAGTTGAAATATGTTCAAATTTTTAAAAAGTATATATATATTATATACATCCTAAAATTATTTAACAACGTTTATTTCGATAAAACAATCAAAATAACAAGCAGAATGAACTTTTCCTGAACCTTAAATAACAGAGGAACAATAAGCTTAAAAAATTAAAGATTGGGCCTTAAATGAGCCAAAGGTAATCAACACTAGTGAGCAACACTAGTAATAACAAAGTACAAAGTAATGTGCCAGTGGCATAAACATTAACATAATAAATAAATAAAATTTAAATAAAATGACATTCCTTATTGTGCAAATTGTAAGAATCTTCAGTGCTCAAAAATATCTACTCTTACAAATATAAAACAGAGCAACACTACTTTATGAAACAATACAACCACATGTAAACAAATGTGTAGTGCAGGTGTTTAAAATAACATAAAATATGTAAGCAAATCAAATGAACCACACCGATTGTCCATTTTCTCCACCATAAGGTGCTGCTGCCAACTTTGTTCACTACTTGAGATTGAAACGTAAAAATGTCAGCATATTTACTTTCCTGGTTTGAGTAGTGATCTACGAGGGGAAACATTGTGCCCGCTGGCACTGAATAGCCTCACTGATGGCACGCTCATCGCTGGAATGCACAAAGCTTCCTGGCAACCCTAGCAACCCTTTGTAGAAGCCAAAATACGCCCAGACTTCGAACTTGTTTTTTTTGATGGCGGAAAAATCTCTGCAACACGGTCGGCAGAACTGCCCTCCGCCATGTTTACAAGTTCTATACTGTGCAGTGCGCTTGGCGTGTCTGTGTCCGGAGTAATGCTGCAAATAGGCCTGTCGCGATAATCAATAAATCGCCTAATCGCTCGGTAAATAAAAACGAGGTTGGTAATTTTGGGGGGGGGGGGGGGGGCGCATTTGTTTGAAAGTTTTGGTGACAAAGAAGGGGAATACGACGAACATGCATGCGCACCTCAAGCACAATCATCCGCAGGGATGATTGTGCTTGAGGTGCACATGCATGTTCTTTGTTGACCTGTTGAGGAATTAGTGCAATTTTGTTTACAGACTTGAGACTCCACTTTATTTATTGTTTTAATAGTTATGTGTGGAGTGAAGTTTTTGTTCCGTACCAGAGACAAAGCCTTTTTTTTTGTTTGTAGTTGTGATAGTGGTTTTTATTTGAATGCAGTTTTTGATAAAACAGAATGTGGGTCCAGTTTATTTTCATTATTTTTTGGTTGTCTTGTTTGATTATTATATTTGTTCATCCTAGTTCAAAGTTCTTAATCTTGAGCAATTAAAGTTTATTGCTTTTGACATGGTGTACTCGCATTATTATGCTATATATTATCATTATCTATAATTTAAAAAACGGTGTCAATAATACCGTTTATCGGCAATAATTTGTAGCACAATTATCGTCCAGCAAAATTTATCGTGACAGGCCTAGTTGCAAACTTAAATATGTATCTGTTAGTGAAGCTGCTACGGCACTCACTAGTGTACAGAATAAAGAGGAGAAGCGACAAGCAGCAACCCTGAGGAGAGCCAGTGGAAGAGGAGAGCACACTAGAAAAGAGTTAATTCTTACACACTGTGACCTAGTGCTGGGCGATATTGAAAAAAATGTATATCACGATATGGATCATTTTATATCACGATAACGATATATATCACGATATAGCTATGGTATGCTTTCAGTTCTATGAAAAATTTAAGTGTATACAGCTGCACTAGTACAGTACCAGTACAAGACCAGCACTTAAAACTAGAAAAATGAATAAATAAATACGTGGCTGAAGTGTGTTCATGTCTGTGCTCACCCAAAGTTATGCAACACTCACAGAAAACGCCGATAGTGTGAGCCAAAGCACTCCATAATAATAATAATAATAATAATAATAATAATAATAATAATAATAATTATACATTTAATTTGTAATGCACTTCACATTTACACAAAAATCTCAAAGTGCTACAGTACACAAAAAAAAGAGCAGCAACAATAATAAAGCAATAGAATGACAGTCACAGATTGGCATAAAAAAAGAATAAAAAAAAATAAAAAATATAGAGTTGCAATGTAAGAGGCAAGGTAGTAAAAGCATAAAGCATAGAAGAAAACTAACCAAAGGCTTTATTAAAAAGGTAGGTCTTTAGGGCTCTTTTGAAGAGGTTGTTCACTAGATGTTTCTCCTCCAAAGCTGCTCTCTGCCTCCATCATTGTTTACTTTACTCTTGAAGCACGTAGCAAGACCCGAGCATGAATCCGAGCGCTTTATTCGCCTATCAGGAGCAGACAGGTAAGGTGATTTGATTCGCCACGACTCCAGAAATGATTGAAAAACTACAGAATGTCACAAAATTACGTTTCCTCGCTGCTGGCTTGAAGGGTACAAATGCGCAGCCGCGCTCCCAGCTGACAGGAAGTCAAACCACTGTTGTAGTTCTTTTGTGTTGCTAGCGCGGTCAAGAGTGTTGGCTCTCACTGAGAGATGACTACAAAAATGGACGCACCTGTTCATAAGGTTGTTAAACACGGCTGAAAATGATCATCTTTTAATGTTGTTCCCGCTCCTGCCCACTCCCGTTGCCTTTTTTCCCGTCCCGTCCCGATCAAGGGATTAATTAAAAAATGACTCCCATCCCGTGGGATTCCCGCGGGAATCACGTGACCCACGGGAATTCCCGAAAAATGTCATCCTCTACAGGGAAGGTCCCGGAGCAGATGAAACAGGTGCCGGAGTGGCTGAAATAGGTCCCGGATCCGATCAAAAGAGGTCCCGGAGCGCGCTCCGACTTGCTCCGGCACAAATTAAGCACTGCTTACAATGATCCCCTCATGTGTGTAACCCAGGTAACCCGCAACGGCGGGAGACGCTGGACATGAAGAGGGCACGTAAAGCGGTGTCATGTCGCAAAATCGAAAGAAAAATGCGAGCCTACATGTCAACGCATCCTTTTCTTTGTAAGAAAATATTGTTTTCTTTCCCGTTTGACACCAAATACACTTACTGAATGTGCAATTATTGTTGTTGTTACTATGAATCATCTGATGGCACAAGCCCTATGGATAAAATACAGCCTAAATACAGATAAAAATAAAAATGGCACGATAGACATTTTCTATCGTGCCCACGATATCTATCGTCCTATCGCCCAGCACTACTGTGACCTGTTACTTAAAAGTCAGTTATCCAACTGAGCAGGTTAGAATCAAGTTTAAAATGATGGAGGAGTCTATTAGCAAGCAGAAGGGGTTGGATAGTGTTAAATGCTGAAGAGAGAATGATGAATACGAGTCTGGAATGTGTCTTCTGCCCCTCAAGAAGCCTGAACAAAAAGTGGAATAACGTAACAACAGCATCTTCTACATCTCTACCAGTTCTGTATGCAAACTTCAGTGGATCAAGGTGTTGTTCAACATGCATTAAGATTTCCGTTTTGATGATCTTCTGAAAAGTCTACATCTCTAGAGAAATAAAAGCTACAGTATGGAAAGCCGTTTGAGCATAAATTCGTGATATCAACCATAGTTTAGCCCTA